ATCTAGGATTTCTAGAACATGAGTGCACCACGGAGGGGAAAAAATGCTAAGTGAGAATTGATCTCTGCTTCTTTGTTTAAATAATTAAGTATTGAACCAAGTGCACCATTCAACCTTTATGGAGCATGGGTGCCAATACATAATACTGGGCCAATTCTAGCAAATATGTACATAAGATACCTAGTTTGGCGGAGGGACCATGGGTTCACGTGCCCCATAATATGGGTTATAGATCCGCCCCTGGTGGCACTTCCTCTCTTCCACGGACTGATACTAATTGAGTACCAACATCAAGCTGTGCTATTATGATAATAGCCGGTGCCATACAAAGCACTTTCTGTTTCTATGTTTTCTGATTGCAGCTAGCACGATTGGCTGGAAGTAAACCTTGTAGAAAAGTGAATTGGAACAGAAGCCTATAGACTCAAGCGACCAGGTCGGTGAAAACTAACCCCAGATTCCATGTGAGTTATTATCCACATCATATACATTTGACGAATTGCACCAGAATGCTAAATTACATAAGCATTTATATTTTGGAAGATGGACAGATGAAACATGTCTGGTTTCTTTATTTCTGAATTGCTTTAAAACACATGCTGAAATTCTTCTCCATATAATATTCTTCAACACTTGCAGCTACTAAGAAGTTCTGTTTTGATTGATAGCATCGCCCGTTTTATCCCAAAAATGTTCAAGAAAAGGCTCCAAAGCTGTCCAGTATCTGTAACAGTGCCTCCTTATCATAATTAGAATGATTTTCATTTGCTAATAATCTGAAGAGATAAATCTGGAAAAACGTTGTTGGGAAGTTGCTGAACTGGGTCGATGATCTTTCTAATTAAATCATAGATTAGATTGCTAAATGCTCATTGTGGGTGGGGGTTTTGTTTAATGTGGTTATGGCATGAGAAAATTACTTGCTGAACCATGCCCGTATATTTCTCCTGTAAAGTTGATTAATGTTTTATATCGAATTACCTAGTAACTACTTATAATGGTATCAAATTCAATTTTAATTCAAACTTCATAATTGCCATAATATAAACAAAAGCTTATAAGGAATGATCAAGTTACATTCATAATTTATACACTGTAAAAGAAAATTTCCATAAGGAAATGGGGGTGAAGTGAAATGTACTAAAAGAAAGTTAAATGAATTTAAGTTTATTTATGATACAACTCACAAATGGTATCCTTTTCAATCTTAAAACTAAAAGGTGTGGTAATTCAAAATGTTATAGGCGATGTTGGCTTATTGAAGAATGAATGACAAATAGTTTATTTTGCTTTTGAGGTCAAATGAGTTATATATATCCTAATCCTATCAAATAGACAAATTAGGACTAAAAATAATTCAGAAGTGCACTAAATAAACGAGGTCAAGTTCTGTCTGGGTCCCGTGATATTATTATCCTTTTGTCTCAATAGTCGATAGTTGGGTGGATTTTTGTTTTAACGTGCTGTGCTGCAGGTAAAGATCTAACTGCCACTAGTAATATTTTTAAGGAAAATGGAGCAATCTTCTATTTCAAATGCAAAAAGATGCTCGTAATCACACTTACAAGAAAACCGCATGTAAGTTGTTTTTTGCTCAAATAGTGTTTTTAGTCTTTAGAATTCATTAAATATACTTATATAAATATTATATGTAGAACTTAGTTCTAAAATCCACAACTCATATGGTGTAGAAGATTTGATAGATTGTACAAGTTGTGTTCTGTTAGGTCCATAGACCTTATTCTGCGGGATGGAGACCTTCAAATTATTGATTTGTGTCATAAAATATTAGTGACTGGTGAATAGACACCACACCACACTTTTTCCAGACGTTACTACTACTTTCTACCAGAAATGAGAACAACATATCCATTCGTTTCTTAAATTTGTAGTAGATATATTAATAGTTCACATTTATAACGAGGAGTCACAAATTTCATATATTTTATTAGACAAGAGGCACCACATGATCCTATTTTTGCCTAACCTTGTCTTAACTTTTTTGCTCTAACCATCTTATGGCAGGTCGCACATAAACTGTGATCCATCATTGTATAGGGTCTTTCAAAAATTTTAATAGCGAATTCAAAATTTAAACTAAGACATTATCTTTACTCTCTTCAAAATAAAGAACGATTAACATTATCCGAAAGATCTTATGATTTCATTAGGTATAAAAAGCTTCGTACATTTTCACTTTCTAATTTTACAAAAAAAAAAAAAAAAAAAAAACAAAAAAAG